ACAAATAACAAGAAACCACTGATGTACAGTGAGGACAATAAGTGTCTGAACACCTGCGACTTTACAAGTTCTCCCACTTAGACACCGTGGAGGGTCTGAAATGTTCATGTTAGGTGCTTGTCCACTGTGAGAGACATCATGGAAATCACCATGTATGATTGTTTAATCATTTATTTGTGTGTTACTGCTGCAAATAAGTATTTGAACACCTGTGGAAATCAAAGTTAATATTTGGTACAGCAGTCTTTGTTTGCAGGTACGGAGGTCAAAGGTTTCCTGTAGTTTTTCAACAGGTACATTCCATTTTGATGAAAATGTTCTTTGGCAAACGACAGTTTTCTCAAACGCAGCGAGGGCTTGAATTCAATGAGGAAGAAATCCAACGTTTAAGGCTCAGAATAAACCGTCTGTCCCGTTCGGATGCTCTTTTCATTCCTGCAAGCTAGCTGTGTGTGCATTAGAAGATAAAGTAGGAGTTTAGACTAGTTTTTGTTGCACTTCTTAAAACCAAGTAGAGTTGAGGCCTTTTTAAGTGTTCTAGGTCATGACCTGGACTTACCTGGACTTTGAAGGCCGGGTAAAGATGACTATAAGTAGGACACGAATAATGGAAAAAATCTATTCTGTCTGGGACACTTTACCAGCAATAATAGACTAAATGTCCAATGACCAATAATTTTGTACATGAAACATCAATAAAGTCATGACTGGTCATGACTCACATCAGAACAACCATCAACATCAACGAGGACCCTCATCAGTACGCATACTGTGAGAATCGATCAACAGAGGACACCATCTCCTCTGTGGTCCACACTGCTCTCAACCACCTGGAGCAGAAAAACTCTTACGTCCGTATGCTCTTTGTGGACTTCACATCCGCCTTCAACACCATGATCCCCCAAACCCTGATGGACAAACTATCCACACTAGGACTAAGTCCCTCCATCTGCAACTGGGTACTAGACTTCTTAACAAACAGACCACAGTTAGTGAGGATCCACAACCTCTCCTCCTCCACCATAACCCTCAGCACTGGCTCTCCTCAGGGATGTGTGTTGAGCCCCCTCCTGTTTACTCTGTTCACGTATGATTGTGCATCTACCCATCCAGGCTGTCACATTGTAAAGTTTGCAGATGATACAGCGGTGGTGGGATGCATCACAAACAATGATGAGTCCAGCTACAGGCAGGAGGTGGAACACCTGGAGAGCTGGTGCAGAGAGAATAACCTTCACATCAATGTGAAGAAGACAAAGGAGATGATTGTGGACTTCAGAAGGAACAAAAACATCTACACCACCCTGAACATAAGAGGATCTGCGGTGGAAGTGGTCTCCAGCTACAAGTACTTGGGTGTACACATGAATGACAACCTCAGCTGGAGCAACAACACCACCAGCCTGATGAAGAAAGATCATCAGAGACTCTACTTCCTCAGGCGGCTGAGGCGAGCTGGTCTGGAAGCTCAGTCCTCACCTCCTTCTACAGGTGTGCAGTGGAGAGCATCCTGTGCTCCAGCATCAACGTGTGGCATGGAGGCTGCACAGCTGCAGAAAGAAAAGCTTTGCAGAGAGTGGTGAAGGCTGCACAGAAGATGTTGGAGTCAGCCTCCCCACCATCACAGACATCTACACCTCCAGATGCAGGAAGAGAGCCACCTGCATCATGAAGGACCCCACCCACCCAGCACACACACCTTTTGCCCCACTCCCCTCAGGAAGGAGGTTAAGGAGCATTAAGTGTAGAACCACTAGACTGAGGAACAGCTTCTACCCTGAGGCTGTTAGACTCATGAATCTCTAACTAGAATAATCACTGTGAAAAACCATATCATGTTGCTGCTGATCTGTTTCATGTTGCTGCTGATCTGTTTCAATGTTGATGTGTTCATGCGTGCACATCTGCTCACAGACTCATGTTCATGTTTGTGCTGATGTTCAATGTTTTATGTTATGAGTGCTTAGTGTATATTTAGTTCTTAGATGTTATTACTGTTTTTCTTATACATTTTATTGTTGGATGTAACTGGGACCCCGTGTACATAATTTCGCTCCACCACATGTACCACATGAGGTGCGAATGACAATAAAGAATCTCTGACTCTAACTCTAATCCATTCAGTTTTGGTAAAGTAGGAGCTGAGCCAATAAGCAAAGCCCTCAGTCTGCTGGTCCATCTACGTCCCAACCCTGAGACAGGGATGTAATAAATCAGATGACATTGTGATCTGTGGTGAGAACAGAACAGGTGGAAGAGAACTTGGAGAGGTGGAGGTATGCACTTGAAAGAAGAGGAATGAAAGTCAGCCGGAGTTCGTGTGTGAATGAGAGGGAGGAGGTGGAACAGTGAGGCTACAAGGAGCAGAGGTCACAAAGGTGCAGGACTTCAAGGACTTGGGGTCCACTGTCCAGGAACATGGGGAGTGTGGTGAAGAGGAGAAGAAGAGAGTCCAGGCAGGATGGAGTGATGGAGAAAAGGTTCAGGAGTGATTTGTGACAAAAGGCTGTCAGCAAAGGAAAAGTTTACAAGACAGTGGTGAGACCAGCTCTGTTGTAGAAGGATGTTAGAAATGCAGCTGCCAGGAAAAAGACAGAGGAGATATATGGATGCAGTTAGAGAGGACATGGAGGTAGTTGGAGTGAGGACAGTGAGATGAAGGAGGACTTGCTGTGGAGACCTCTGAAGAGGGAAAAGCCAAAAGAATAATATCCATTCAGTACTGGGAATACCTTGAGCTCCCCAAGGAGCTGCAGAGGGATGTTGGGAAGGTCATCTGAACTTTTCTCCTGGACTTGTTGCGTCTGTGACCAAACCAAGAATAAGGAATAGAATATGGATGGATGCAGTATACCACCTGCCAAGGAGCCAAAACTTAATACTCAGCAAGAAAACTGTTTTCCCGAGGTGCCATGAAGTTCATGAACGACAACAATGTTCTTTGGCCAGGACATTTTATGCTTCAAAAGAAATTCACAAGCAGAAGTCCTTACCCCAAGAGGACGCCTGTGGCTGAGCGGTTAGAGCAGTCGTCCTCCAATACAAGAGTTGGGGGTTTGAATCCACCAGCAGTCACATGCTGAAGTGTCCCTGGGCAAGACACTGAACCCTCACAGCCTCTGATGCGTGTCCATCAGTGTATGAACGTGATAAATCACTGATTAGTCTCTTTAGAATGATTTGTTCAGTTATCTTTGTAGAGATCTAGTATAGAGCTGTATGAATGGGTCAATGAGGCACAGATTGTAGCGTGAAGAGCTTTGAGTGTCTTGATAAGACAGAAAGGTGATATAAAAGTACAGTCCATTTTGTTTTATGCACTATAAGCAAAACGTTCTATACAGACGTGTTGAGGAAAAACCTGTAAAAACTACCAAAACTAAATCCAAAAAAGTTCAATCTGGTCTACCTGGATTATTGAGCATGCATCAGGATACCAAAACTAAAGCTTTGAAAACAAAGAGGTCTTTTTTTTTCAAAGCCCTGGGAGACGACTACCGTTCTTTTTGGTTCTTGTGGAGTATTAACAGCTTTAAGAGTCCAATGGTCAATCGGGTCTTCTGGACAGTTTCTTTTTTGTGGAAAGACGTTTCACCCTCTATCCGGAGGACTTCATCAGTCTGAGGAGTCCCTAGTAAACCGTTTTCCCCACTAAGCAGTACACTCCTTTTAGTGGACCGAAACGTCTTTCCTCAAAAAAGAAACTGTCCAGATGACCTGACTGACCATTATTGGATTTGGCGCCTGGATGATTGAGCATGAACTAAAGAACTACACATCTTATTGGGTTAACGTGATATAAAATTGTTAGAACCAACCAAACTTGCTCTAACAAAGGGAGCTACGTGAAAATGGTGACGAACCCTAACTGATCAGAGTTCACTTGAAACGTTTAGAAAGTGAAGGTTCGGCCAGTTGAAAACCTTGACAAATGGGGTTTAGACTAGCTCTTCTGACACCTACAGTACATTCCACTGATTGGACCACATGTGCAGTGGCCATTTTGGATTCTGACATGGCAACTCATTTTTCATAGTGACCTTTGGTACACCTATATATAGCCACGTACCAAAACAAAGGTCCGTATCGCACTTATTTTTTAAGTTATCCGTGTCGCAGGTGAGCCGGACGGACTGAAGTCCCCTCTTCACTCTGCGGCGTGGCACACAGTTTGTCTACTTTCATTGTATTTAAACAAATTCCATTGTCATTCAACTCCCAGGTCAAAAGGTAGAAGCTGTCCACTTGTCCAAACATCTATTTTCTCACGTTGCACTTTTGATCAGTAACGTTCAACCGTACTGATGATGTCTCCATGTTGGTCAATCTGTTAAACAGAGGTTTCCAGTACTTTTTAACGCTCCCAGTACACACGTTTGCCGACTCTAGCTTCCCTTTTAGTAAAACCCATGCTTGTCGTCTCAGGCTCTTACGTTGCCACATGTTGGCTTTTCCATAAAATGGCTGCAGAGTAAAAAAATCCCTTTTGCATCATTTATTTGGGCTTCCGATACACAAACCAAGGGCATGATCATCAACACAGTCTGCTTTGGATCTCGTAGTACAACAGAATAGTTCGGACTGATGCAACAGTTTAACTTGGAACTACAGTCCTACATACACAATTTTAGAAATCTGTATTTTTCTGATGGTAAATAACATTTATTATACTCAACAGTTGTCAGTTATAAGAACAATCACAGTTTTTTTTTTTTGTTGGTTTTTTTTTGTAGCAATTTAGTTTTTGGATGCACTTCCACAGCAGTTTTAACAAACTTCATCTGTAGTTCTAAAATGAGTCTGCACTAAACGCAGGGCTTCCCAACCATGGTCCTTGAGGAACACCATCCTGCCTGTTTTAGTTGTTTCTCTGCGCTGACACACCTGATTTTAACTCATGGGTGATTAACAGGCTTCTGCAGAACAAGAATTAAATCACTGAATCAGGTGTGTTGGAGCAGGGAAACTACTGAAACATGCAGGAAGGTGTTCCTCAGGGACTAACGTTGGGAACCCCTGCGAGTGTGGCTCTTTTAGACGATGTAACAGCAAATGCAGTCGGCGTCACGGTCGTATTTGTTGCAAACGATCGACGCACTCTAGGAAGAAAGCAGACCGTGGTTTGTTTTTTTTAAGTCTGATTCAAATGCTCGGCCACAAACTGATGTGGTGAAACTTCTCCACAAGATTTCTCTTACAAAAAAAAGTTGAGACCTGAGATGATTTTTTTTTTAAACAAAATGAACTGTTAAAAACCTTTTTCCTTTTTGTGACCAACAACATGCACGTTAAAATCTGGCAGCTTTTCTCGAAAGAACATTTTTCTCTCACCTAAACTGCGTTCTTACAACTCTTCATACAAGACTGATTGCGTTGCAAAGTAAAAGTACACGGCTCTAAGATTTCACAAGAATCATCAGAAGTCAGTGTGTGGTGAGGGTGGAGCAGAATTCAGATAACTTAAGACAAATAAAATCACTTTTTAAACTCTATGAAACGTGGTAATACTTTATCTTAGATCGCTCTAAGAACTCAGAGTTACAAGTTCATTCCTTGGGCACTTAGTAAAGAGTCCAGCATGTCAAAGGTGTTTTTGTAGTCAGTGTGTTGGCCGTTGGACATTAGCATCCCGTTCGTTCCATCGTGGAGCTCCATCACTCTCTGGCCACCGTCAGATGGGTAGTGAGACGAGCTCAGGCCTCCTTTGGAGGACCTGCTGCTCTTAGATGAGTGGTGGTGGCCGCCGGCGTCTGAGTGCTGTCTCTTACGAGACGAGCTAGACGAACTCCCGTTGGTGCAGTGGCTGCTGGGAGCTCGAACAGAAAAGGAGGCATTGTCTACGGCCCCCCTGCTGTGTCCGCTGAGGGGATACGAGTGTTTGGAGTGGTGGTGGCCACTGTGCTCTTTGTGCTTGTCTTTGCCGGACAGAGTCCCGCCCTGCTCCGACGAAACTTTGATTCGCATTTTGAACTCCTCGCTAGAGGCGGAGCCGTTTTCTACGTAGGACGGTGCGTGTCGGGGCTTTTTGGAGCTCTTCTCCTTCCTGCCGTCCCCAGACTGGGCAGCCTGCTGTGGCTGAGAGCGTTTCCTGCGGTGGTGCGAGGCCACGGCGGGGGCGGCGTAGATGTCCGCGCTTAGCTCCTCCTTTACGCCATTTTGCAAGGCCAGCTCTGCCGCGTGTTTCTCCCGGTACTTTTCTAGAGTCAGGACTTTCTGCGATCGGGAAAAGGCAGTGGCGTTCACACCGGCTTGCTGGTGTTCGCCGCTGGAGCCGGCTGCAGCTTTGTGTTTGACCAGCATGAAGTCCGAGTGCGGGGGCTGGGAGAACTGGTCGTAGCTACAAGACTTTGACTGTTCGCTGAGAGGCTGGTACAAGGAATAGGGGCCCGTGATGGAGTTCAGGGTGGACATTTCTGTAGAATCTGAGGTCAAGATGGACGGGAAGAAGGAGTTGGAGACGTCAGGAAGACTTTCTAAAGACGTCCCCTGGAAGGCACTGTCCACAGTCACGCCTTCGGTCTTTGGTTTCTTAGCTGCTTGGATAGCCTACAACATAAAAGTTGACAACATTTTACCATAATATCCTAGAAATGACAAAGATCCTAACGACCTACATGAAGGAGGGGCGGCTGGTTTGTGCACCGGTACATGTTCAGCCTGCAGAAAACTAAAGTACTGAAGGAACTGAGCATCTTACTGCGACTGTTGGCAACTCAAAAATTGTGAGAAAAAGGGAGTGTTCAGTTCTAAATTCTGAGATTTTGAAACCATGTTTCGCAAGGCAACTTTTAAAAATCATGCTTTCAAAATGCACAGGAGTAAGCTTTAGAAATGAATATAGTCACTTTAAGGATTATTTATCCTGAGTGTCTTTTAGATCTGGACGGTCAGAGCGGTAGCCTCGGACGTTTTCTGTCTCGAGGAAAGTTCCCGTGTGGGTGTCCAAGAACAGCTCTGGAGCTTTAGAACCTCCAGAAACTAAACTGAGACGGAGTCGAAACTGTGGGTCATCTTTAAATTGATGCTAATAATTCAGCTCAGTGCTGCTTTGAATTACTGTGTAGAATTAGATGAAGTAGTTCACTAGAGCTTGCAGAAACTAAACTGAGACGGACTAGAGACACTCGTGACAACTTTGCAACTATTTTGGGAGAAATTTGTTTTGCGTATTTGTATTTGAATTAAAGCGACAAGCCTCTGTGATTCATAATAGAACCCCACAGAAGTTTTGGAACTTTCTCAAGTTCACCAACTAGTCTCCAACAGTCTTGGCCCGGTGAGATTCCGACTCTAGCGAAACCCACTGCAGCTTTTAAAACTTTTCAAAAGCTCGCACTCTGCACTTCAGTTTGACTTGAGCAAGCTCCTCAGCTGAGGAGCAAAATGTCTTTTAAACGTACCCTCCAGTTTCGTATCCTCTTCAGCTTGCTGGGCGTCCTCTCCAGAATCTGAAGAAACTCGTGGGTTAGCTCTGAAAGCAACAATCACAACCCTTTAAACCCCGAGTGCAATTCTCTGATTTTTAAAATCCAGTTTCAGCTCCAGGTACGGGGTTTTCCGTCCTACCATCTAGCAGCTGGAGTGTTACAGTGCGGTCCACATACTCCCACCAGTGTTTCCCATCTGTGGACACTGGGATCTCCCAGTTGGACCACTTACAGGCCAGGTGGATGCAGACACACGCAACAATCGTGGGCCTGTACTGCAGGCAGAAGGTGGTGAGGTGCAAACTGCACAAACAAAAAAGATGCATCATACTTACATGAACAATCGCCTCGTTTTGCACGTTAATACGGAACACTGTGTTTAATTAACAGGAATAATAAATTAAGCTAAAACATTCCTTCATACACAAAACTAGAGCCCGACCGATATGTTGAATGTTGGCGACAACCAATTGGTGATAATTGTCCTATTATGTGCTGATATTAACACTGGGAACAACCTGTAATTGTAAAATGTATCCAGCAGAGGGAGCATGAAGACTACTTTCAAGTCATGACTGTTCACTTAAGTTTCACTTTCAGCGCAACCGAAGCAAGGAGCAAAACTGTGTGGCGTATTTTGCTGAACGGAGCACGGTAAGTTTGTTTTCAGTTTTTCCCCTTTCATTAAACAAGCAGGGTGCCCCGCCCTTTTGGTTCAAAACAGAACCAAGCACCCCGCCAACTGAAGTCCCCGCCACCCCTGTTGACAACTGGTGCCAATGTCATAGCGCTAGGCTAGTAACGCGCAATACTTACGCGTTAGCTAAAAAGCTATGACTATGGAGGTAGCGCTCCATCTCCACTCATGCTGAGCCATCTCCACCCCCCCCCCCCCCCCACCCACTCAAAAGCTGTCAGTACAAACAGCACGCAACACAGACGTCTCTCCCTGCAACAAAAATCTCGAAAGAGATGAGCGCCCTGCCAAGACAAGTAAACTAGGGGAAACACTGTAACTGGTCTGTAAAACAAAAATCAACAAATCCTCCAACTCACTTGTCATTAGCAACGTGCCTCTCAAGTTAGCAAGCTAACGTTCAGATAGCAAAGGCTACTATTTGTTGTACTCAACGAAATGCATTTTGTCTGAAATCTTTACTTCTCTGCAAAGAAAAAAAGCAGATGTGGTCACTAATGAGACCTTCTCCATACGTGACTTTAAACAATGATCAGGGAGGACGTTTGTTTAATTTATATTTTTGTAGCACACTGTATAACTATGGTGAACAGTGGAGGACAGAAAATGTGAACACGTTAGGAAGACTTCAAGAGTTAAAACAGGTTTAAAAGTAGCTGTTTACAGATTCTTGGGGTGGACCAAGCTCAAAAACTGCCAGCCATGATAACGATGGTCGGCATTAGTCTCCTCCCACGCCCAATATAGACATCGGCGATAGTCAAAATTTCCATATCGGTCAGGCTCTACACAAAAACTTACCTTTCCAACTGGAACGCATTAGAAACCCATGTTATGACATTTATTTATATGTAACCATCAAACAAAGATAAAAGTGAACCTGCGTTATTTATAATTCACAACTCCAAATCAGTATGGTAAGGACAAAAAAGATTATTGCGTTTATTTTGACTGTTTTTGCAGAAAGCATCAACCTTGATATTTAGTTTAGTCTCATCGAATCGATTAAGTGACAAGAGATTAGTTTCTGCATTGCAGACATTTGAAAATGATCGGAACAGTGTAAAATAATGGAACGAGTGCTGAACGTATTTAATCAAACGAGTCGTTTCTAAGATTTAGAGCCAAAGGAAAAATTAGGTGGTGTCCCTAGTTTAGCAACAAGCGTGTGAGAAAAAGCTAAATCTGTCAATAAAGAATATTACGGGACTCGAAAAACGGTGTTTCTTTCTGTGATGCCTGTCACGATAAATTCTGCTGGGCGATTAATTGTCTCAAAATTATTGCGATAAACGATAATATTGTTTGAAATTTGACAATAATTGGTAATTATTGTCAAATTTAAGAAGAAATGTTGGTTAATTTGTTTTGTGTGTAGTACCTTTTTTGACCACTGGATGTCAGTACAAAACTGTTTGAACCGAAGGATGGATAGTGAGGGAGCGAGCAGCGTGTCTCTAAGAAAAATGGGAGGGAGGCCCCATGACGTGACATGAGCTGTCTCTCGTTGCTTTTTTTTTTTTGGTTCTCAAAATGGCGGACGCTCTGTGTGGTTTGAGCTCTTCAGCGTAGCATTTGCAAAGCTTTAAATCAAAAATCGGTAAACAAGTTCTCGGCTTCTTTTTGCAGAGAAAAACTTTTTACACAAAGACACAAGTTTCAACCGTGAATTTTGGAGCTTCGACAAGACGGAGGTTTTTTCCTGAGATCAGCCTGTTAGCTTAGCTCGTAGCTTAGCTGCTTTAACGATCCTAAAACACGATTTTGGACGATTCAATCAGATTTCAAAACTAAACGGAGGAGTCGGTGAAGAACCGGAGTTGAACCTTTTGTCATCCAGTGTCTTCAGTAGAAAGAGAGAGACACGAAGAAATGATAAAGCTGATAAATCAAAATAAGGCTGATCATTTTCATTCATCGTGCGATTAATTAATTGATTGATTATCGCGACAGGCCTAGCGGTGCATTCTAAGATAGACAGGTTGTGCTCAGATTGGGTTGAAGGCCTGAAATACAGGAACTGGTCTTAAGGTTCTCAAACTGCAGGACAAGTATCATCGCTGGGTCCCTCTGATAATAATCGGAACGTTTCTGTAGCAGACACAAAATAAATGAAGTGATTCCTGTAAAAAAACGAACCGTGATATGAAACAAAAATGGACAGAAAGGGTTCAAGCAAATTATTAAATTTGCAAATGGAAATGACCCGAAGCAAAAGTTCAAAGGAGAATATTTCATTGGCAACAAAATGTGCACGGAGCATCAAACCCCCGTCGACGATCTATACAGCAATCTATGGCAACAGCCCAGACGAGCAAAGACCTTGCATGAGATTTGACCTTGATTTGTGAGCTTGACGTTAGAGCTGGGGTGCTGTAAAGATTACACCGCGCTCCGTCTGGTGGCTGCACACACGTCTTCAAGCAGATCAGAAGATAAGATCCGTGAAAATCTCGTTTTAACTCTGACCTTGAAGCTGCAGCCATGAAAAGTGTGCGCGACATCTTCGTAGTGATGATGCACACGTGCATCAACTTCCCTCAAACTAACTCGATGGAACGGCCCAGATTAGACAGTAAATGGACTAAACCATAATCCAAGGAGGGCACCCCGCCCTGCCACCCAACCCCACATTGACAACTGTTAGCACTGACGTAGCACTAAGCTAGCTGCGTGTAATACATGCACGCTAGCTACAAAGCTACAGAAGCAGCGCTCCGTCTCCCTCACGCTAAGCCGTCTCGTTCAACCCACCGCCAGCGGAGAACCGTCAGCACCAACAGTACCGTCGACAAACGTCGCAAACGATGCAAGCGCTCTGCCGAGACAAGACGGGAAACAGACGACAAGCTAAAGCAGAATACGACCGTCTTTTGAAGGGCTGTCGTCAGAAAAGGAAGGAAGTGGACCTGAGCTTCAAGCAGTTTAACGCTGGTCATCATCGTCAGTGTTTCTGTACGTTATACGAGCGGGACGCCCCGCCACCAGAACTGAGCGCCCTGCCTGCCCCGCCCCTCAGACAACTGTTGGTATCCATGTAGCGATACAAACACTAGATGACGTGCCGCTCTGCGCCCCGCCAATAAAAACCAGCAGCAACAGCGCTAAGCTAGCAGGCGAGCAACCAAAATAAAATACGGCGGGCGCCCTCACCGGGGAACTGATCCGGGGAACACGTGGGACATGAAGAGACTGGAGGTTTGTGATAGACACTCGTCACAAGAAGTTTAAGAACAACTCCTGGGCGTGTGTTCAAATGTTGATGCATCAAAAACAAGTTGGGAACATGTCCGCTTCAAGTCGTCCGCAGTATTTCTTTTCCCTCCTTCCTTACCGTTTCTGATTTGAAGTTGTAAAAGACAAATGCCGGTAGTTGGGAGTGCTTTTCTTTAAGTTTAACTCCTACCATCAAAGTCAAACACTCCTTATATCTATCAGCCATGAAATTAGCATCGGGTGCACATTTAAAGGACTGAACTCCCGAGTTAATCTCCATCAAAGTCACGCAGCGAGAAGCCTCGAGTGAAACGAACGTCTCACGAGCCTCGTGTGTAAACGAACTTGTAGGAACGGCCACGGACGTAAACAAATGTTCAGTCTGAGCACGTTAAGAAATTAATCTGCACCTGTGGGGACCGATGCTAAAACACATCGTCTTAAATGTTACGTTTCTTTCTCTGTGCAAGTTACAAGAACTTTAAAACTGCTGTTGTAATTCTTTTCTACAGAACTACAGAGTTGATGCGCATGCATTAAAAACACTTCGTCTCATAAAACGTCCAAGTAAAACAAATTAGTTTGATGTTGTTAGCTCCAGAGAATTGTAATAAAAGGAATTATTAAAACAAAGAATTGTAAACTGTACTTACCAAGAAACTCTATAAGTTTAAGAATCTTTAGTGGCAATCTATGTTCAGGCTACCGTTTGCGTTTTGTTTGTTTGTGTTTGTTTGTGTTTGTTGTTTAACACGTGCACTTCGTAGCAAACCGCCCCACGAGGCTAACAGCACCACTACACTCCACACTGAGCACTCAACCCCTCCGTGCCAACTCTGGCCCTTTGTACAATACACCGCACACAGCAGCCTGGCCTGGGGAGGAGCCCCCCGCTCACAGGGGGCGTCCCCGGACCCAGGTGCAGACAGGGCGTTGGACACGGGCAGGGGGACCCTGCAGGACAGGAAGCTATAGTGTGCCATCACAGTGCAAGAATGGGAACAGGATAATAACCTGTTGGTAGCCATGAAATAGGAAGTCTGAGCCAAATCCTTGCTTGCTGTGAAAGAAAGAAGACGTCGAGTTAAAAACAGGAAGCACAAACAAACAACATTCAACTTACAGTGAAAATTACCAAGAACAAACTCTCTCATTCATACACACAGTATACATATAT